AGGAAGGGTAATCGTGGCCGTATAAATTGGCTGTTTTCCTCAAAGCAAAACTCGAACAAAATGGCGAAGAGACCGCTCCGAAAGGGTGAACCGTCCTACAGTACTCCTCAACTAGTTGAGTTAATTTACCATCAGACCACCATAGAAATTTGAGAGCCGTCTGATCCGATTCTGGAACTTTGACCTGTAAAAACATATCCTCAATATCCGCAGTAACAGCAATAGGCTTCTGACGAAAGCGAAGCAGGACTCCAACTAGTCTGGACACAATGTTCGGTCCTTGGAGCAAAGGCATATTCAAGGACTCCCCTGAATAATTCACTGCACAATCAAATACAACCCTTGATTTATTCGGACATACCACAATTCACGCGTTTCTGGTGTAAATTCATTTTACTAGTTCTTTGTTGAGCTCCCAATGATGCTTCGCAAAGTTATATCAATTCTGGGTCACGTCCTGTTTTTCTTGTCCTATTACTGCCGCGCCGGAGATGTTGTTTGGGCTGTAAATTGTGGTGGTTCCGGTCATGTGGATTCCAATGGTATTGAATACATGGCTGATCCGTTGGTTGTCGGCACGGCTTCAGATTACGGTCGGTCCTTCACCATCAATCGGGTCGCGGTAGAAGATCAGATTCTATATCAAACTGAACGGTATCACACGGGTGATTTCTCATACAATATACCGATCCCGGAAGATGGTGAATATGTGCTCACGTTCAAATTTTCCGAAGTCTGGTTTACCGATCCTGATCAAAAGGTTTTTCATGTGCACCTGAACAAAGCGATCCCGGTCACTGAAGAGTTGGACATTTTTGGTCAAGTCAGTTTTGTTACCGCACTCGATCAGCACATCCCGATCCGGATCGCAGATGGCCTGTTGCACGCGCACAGTCAGTCCGTCCGGTTGAACAAAGGAACATTCAGTGTGGATTTTATTAAGGTATGATGATGATGTACTACTTTGCTTTCATCCGTCCACTCCTTGCGTTCCTTGCTTTTAGACCGATCGGGATAATCCCAAGGTGAATGCGATCATTCTGACGAGGGGCTCGGTGACCGGTAAGCACCTTTTCGCCACTTAGTGTTTAGCGCGATATCATGATGTAAAGTTCAACCGCCCTCGCCACCCAACCTTGATGATGGGGACAGTTTCGCTGTCTTTCGGCTCAATATCATGCCTAACATAGGGGAACTCCATATGGCTCACTACTCCAAGTTTACTGGTTTCCACAACTGAACAGTAGGTCCCAGTTACCAAATAGTTAACCCTGTCTGTTGTTCATCACGCAGAGTTGTGTAATAAAAAAGAAACAGCGCGTTACATACCGCCCATTACACAATAGTTAGTTATGACAAAACAAACGAAAAGTCCAGAAATATGCTGCGGTGAAAGCAGATAATGGAAACGTAGACCACATGACCGGTTACGGAGAATGGCTGATTGGGTAAAAGGTACAATTAGTCCAAAACTTGACCATTTCACAGTGTAGCTCAGTAGTGGAGAGCTTGTCTCGGATACAAGAGACTATCGGTTCGGACAAAGCGATGTATATCACCGCTGCATCAGCCTCCAAGTCGCTTGCACTAACCTCATCGCCACCGCCCATATTCTCTGATTTTTCAATTCCCTTGCATCCCTTAACTTCTTACCCTTCGCTAAATTTGATTGTCCAGTTGTGTATCTAGTGGAAGAAAGTTAGGAGGTCGGCGAGAAAAATAATTAACCGACGAGAGTTGCATGACACTTTGAGGGTTAATGGTGGCCTACCGTCTCGTAGTTTTCATTGACCTGCCTCGGGCTAGAAGTTCCGAGATTGGAACTCCGTGACCACTGTCCAGGTGAATCTCAGTATATTGTTCTCGACCGTTTTCATCAGAAACATTTTTCAGATCAGTCTTATACACGAAACTGTACTGTGATGTTGCGTAGAAACATCTGTTTAGGTGCAGTTGTCTGTTTGAGTTATTGATGCTATTCTCTTTGTTTCGTTTTGGTGGTCTCGGAAGAGTTTTTCACTTCGATTGTCTGCATATTCCGAATAGCAGAATCCTATGCTGCAGTTTATATGCACTCAGCATCATAGATGGCAGTCGGATGTATGTGAGAGCAAATTGTCTGTACGTTTATTTTTCTCTCTCACCACCTTCACCAGCCTCGGCGTGTGTTTGTGTGTGAACTTGGTCTCGTCGAATTTGAGTCCTACCACACGTCGCTCGTGTGCATCCAAGGCATTTCCATCACTTTGTCCCCGCCCGCCTGCCCGTTCCTCTATCTGCGTTTTTGCATGCACTTTCGTATTCTTAAAACCGGTGTGTGCTCAGGTGTTCGTGTAATATTTGGAAAATCAATTTCTATCGTGTGGTTCAATCCTGTTGGAGTTTAACCTGAACGGTATGCAACTAAAATAATTTTATGTGGACCGACCACATAGGAAAGGTTTGTCACCAGCACCACCACCACCACCTTACACACAACTGTTCTACACCTTGCAGTCACTCCCTGTTTCTCCTAGCCCCCCCCCTCTCTCTCCTCTCACTTCCTCCGGAGACTCGGTCATGTAGGTTGCGTTAGAGATGTCGGTTAGAGACACTGAGTGATATGGCTGGAA